TCGTGTTATCGCCGTTCTATTTGAAGTAGCGCGATAAACTCGCGAACGAAAAGGCCGTCCGGCCGACAATCGCGACAACCGTAATTCCCATCGCAGGCCAATTATATAATTCCCGCCCGCGCAATCGCGCGACTCGCTCATCAGATATATATCACTTACAGGTGAAGCGAGGATGTTCAGCTGGGTGGTGCAGAGGCTGGCGTTCCTCTATAAGCCGTACGCGCTGGCCGTGGTGTCGATCGGCTACGTTCTCGGGGAATTGGGCCATTTTCTGATAGGTGAGTCCCGGAAGTGTGAGCTGATTCGATTTTCCGCGGGATCTCGTCCGAGTTGCGTAAACTTATCCCTATCACGCAGAAAATTATTCGGTCGGTGTAACTGAATTTTAGTTACGACAAACGAAACCTTTCGTCCCTTAGGAATCAACTGAAAATTTCGTTGCAGCACAAGAGAAATTCCGTTAGAAAGCTTCGGAAATAAAGGCTGAGGCACCTAAAACAGGCCATTTGAATAACTTTAAAAATATGCAAGACAGAAAAAAATGTTTCAGACAAAAGTTGTTTTAAGTGCATGACCTTGAAACAGCGACATCAAAGTTACGGGAGTCACCTAAATGTTTTAAATGAAAACCCTAGTTTTTTATTATATCATCTTTTTCCACCAATTAATTTGAACAACTTTTGTTTAAAATATTTTTTTATTTGTCTCATATTTTCTGAAATATTTAAGGAAAACTTTTTAATATTTGGCTTATAATGTTTCGATAATTATCTGTCGGAAATAAAAGAGGTATTGGCCTTTTTTACTCTATATGATCTCTAGAATATGCTGTTACAATAATTTTTGTCCTCTAGTTTTTGTTAACTTGATGATTTTGAAATTTCCAAAGGTCATCTGTAACATATTTTTTTATCTTGCGCATTTTGGTGGCCTGTTTTAAATGCCTTTGTACATTCGGTCACCTAAACCGAACATTAATATCGTCAAGGGTACGAGTTCCGTTATTCATACAGGTAAACAAAGCGTCTCTGTATATGTAAATAGAGGGGGAAAACGCTTGCGCGGCCAGGTTGAAGTCGCATTATTAGCAGCGTCAGTCAACTTTGTCAGATGAATCTTTCCGGTCTGAGCAGTAACTGAGATTTTTCTTCACATATATGATATATCAGGCTGGCAAGAAAGGCATGTCGTTTTTTTTCTATGTAAATGACAAGCGATTTTTTCATACAAAGTAAAAACTTTATTCTGTCCGTTTAATTCAATGACCTTTTGCCATCTGTTTGATAGCTTCATGACCCCAGCCTCAGAGAATTTCTGGTCCTTATCAGCGAAAAACTGATCCATTCAAAGAATTTTGCAAGTAACGAAATAAATAGTAATCTGATGATGCAAGGTCAGGCGAACATGATGGGTGTGGTAACACATTCCACCCAAGCTGCAACAATTTCTGGCGAGTGACCAACGATGTACAGGTTGCGTGAAAAGTTCGCGGAGCGGAACTGAAATAAAGAATACCTAATTCTACAAATGATTTTATTCTTCAATATAGTCTCCATTAACTTCAATACACTTGGCCCAATGGCTCTCCAATAATTTTATTCCATCGCGGAAATGTGTTTCTGGAAGGTCTGCGAAATATGTCTCTACGGCTGCTATAGCTTCTTCATTCGACAAAAAATGCTTTCCACGGAGGAATTGTTTCAGGTTTCGGAACAGATAGAAGTCACTGGGTGCCAAATTTGGCGAATACGGTGAATGATCAAGCAATTTGTACTTCAATTCATTGAATTTAGACATTGACAGAACACTTTTGTGAGCAGGTGCGTTGTCTTGGTGAAAAATGATTTGTTTGTGCTGCAAACCAGGTATTTTCTCATGAATTTTTGCGTCCAATTGATCCAAAAGGTTGCAATAATATTCAGAGTTAATTGTTTTACCTTTTACCAGATAGTCAATTAACAAAATCCCTTTAACATCCCAAAAACTGATGCCAAAACCTTTTTTGCCGATCTTTCATGCTTTGTTTGCTTTGCAGCTGAACATCCAGCTTCAGTCCACTGTAAACGTTCCTGTTTCAATTTCGGATCATGGTGATAGATCCAAGTCTCATCCATAGTTATAAAACGACGCACAAAATCGGTTTTATTCTTCTTAAAACGATTCAAATGACGTTGAGAAATTTGCTTTCGAGCGAGTTTTTGTTGAATTGTTAACGTATGCGGCACCACTTTTCCAAACACCTTTCTCATTTGTAATTCTTTATGTAAAATATGTCGTACCCGTTCATCTGAAATGCCTATGGTATGAGCAATTTCACGCGTAGTCACACTTGGATCTTCAGAAACAATAACATGTATTTGCTCAATGATTTCTGGTGTTGATGCGCTTTTTGGACGTCCACTGTGTGGATCATCTTCAATGCTTGTACGACCACATTGAAACTCAAGTGCCCATTTACAAACCATTGTTTTTGAAGGAGCAGATTCCCCTAACACATTTACCATCTCGGAATGAATTCCATTGCCTTTAAACCTTTTTTAACAAAGAACTAAATCACTGCACGCTGTTTCAAATTTTCCATTGCAAACAAATATACTGACACGTCAACTTCAGTTGGCTTGTAAACACAGAAAAATTGACAGATGGAAATGAAACCTAATCTAGGTTCATGTGAAGAGTGATTCTATATAACCGACTACAATTTATAATTCTACCGTTTATTTATAGATGCCGCTCCGCGAATTTTTCACGCAACCTGTATATAGTCTAGCGTTGTCATGGTGAAAGACAGTACCTTTACGATTCACCAGTTCTGGGCATTTCTGCTTGATTGCTTCGTGTAACTTGTACAATTCCGAATCAATCGTTTGTGATCGATTACGTTTAAGCAGTTCAAAAGACACAATACCCTTGTAATCCCGCAAAACAGATAGCAAAATCTTCCTTTGGTGAATGTCTGCTTTATAAGTGTTTTGTGGCGGTTCATCACGTTTGCTCTATGTTCGTTTTCGTTCCATATTGTCGTAAACAATCCATAAAATCCATTTTTCGTCGCCAGTTAACATTCGTTTAAAAAACGAATTGTTTTGTTCATCACGTTTCAAGAGAAAATCGCTGATGTTGGTGAGATGAATTTCTTTGTTCGTGTGGAATCCAAATCGAGTTTGTTGACATATTCGAGTTGTTTTAAATAGTTTTCAATGCTCGTATACGATACGTTTAGTTTCTCAACGATCTGCCGCGTCGTATAATGGCGATTGGATTCAAGCAATATTTTTATTTTGTCATCAACCTCAATTGGCCTGATCATGATACATCTTTCACAGAAAAATCTCCCGAACGAAGACGAGCAAACTAACGCTCATGCTAGTGTTCTGTTAAGGATTCCTCACCATATACTAGCATATAACTTTTGACAGGCTTGCATACCGATCTTTCCTTCTTGGAAGTAAAAAAGTAAAATATGACGGAAATGCTCGTTTTGATTTTCCACTTTTAACTCAGTGCTAAACAAACAATTCTTTAGCGGATGACGCAGTTTTCTTTTTCTTTTTAAGAAAGCTTGAAACGTCAGTTATCAAATAAAGGTTATAGAATTTGGAGTGAAGTGCGTTTAATGATAAGTAAAGCCATCTATCCGTGAAAAACGACATGACATTGTTGCCAACCTGATAGTTCCACACTTTCTGCGAGAGTAGCCGAATACTCTGGTAACTATTGGATTGTTCGGAAAGTAATTTCGGTTTTTGGATAGTGTTAATTAGATAAATAATTAGATAAATAAATAAAAAAGACGGTGTTAGTTGCTTTTTTAAGCAGTTAACCTCATTCTAAACTAGAAAATAATTTTACACTTTTACAACGCACATTTCAAGCTTGATTTGAAAAAAAAGTTGCTTTGGAACCTGTCAAGTTGTTTTTGTTTGGCGTCGCATCAAAAATAGGAAACCAACGTGAGCGTTTTCGTCACATTTTACTTTTTTATTACCATAAAGGCAAATGCAGCGCAAACTAGAAAAAAATTGTGTGCCATGTATAGAGAGGATGTGAGGTATTGAACGCCAATGTCAGAATTGGTTTTGGGAATTTCGTTTTGAGAATTTCGACCTCAAAGATACACCACGTTCTGGAAGGCCAATTGAGGTTGATGAAGACTAAATAAAAGCATTGGTGGACGCAAATCGTCATTTAACAACATGAGAAATTGCTGAGAGATGGAATTTATCGAATTCGATCATGCATGAGCATTTGAAACAACTTGATTTCGCTTTAAAGCTCGATATTTAGGTTCCACACGTTCTCAAAGAAAGAAATTTGATTCATTGCATTATCATCTGTGATTTGCTGTTGAGACATGAGGAAAACGATCCATTTCTGAAGCTACTCATAACTGGAGATGAAAAATGGATTGTGTATAACAATATTAAACACAAATATCATGGAGCAGACGTAATGAACCAGTACTTAAAGCACATCGAAAGCTGATATCCATCAAAAGAAGGTAATACTTTCTGTTTAGTGGGATTGGAAAGGAATGGTTTGTTTTGAACTGCTACCAAACAACCAAACGTTTGATTCGAATGTGTATTCATCAATTGGACAAATTGAATGATTCCATCAAGCAGAAGAAATGAGAATTGATGAATAGAAAAGGTGTTACATATGTTTCATCATAACAACGCTAGACTTCACACAAGTTTAATAACTTGCCAGAAGCTGTTAGCGCTTGGATGGCATTTGCTACCGCGCCCACCATATTCACCTGATTTGGCAGCATCCGGTTATCACTTGTTTCGATCATTGCAAAATTCTTTGAATGGTAAAAATTTCGACTCAAATGAAGGTGTCAAAAATCACTTAATTCATTTTTTTGCCAAGGACCACAAGTTCTACGAGCGTGGAATCATGTTATTACCTCAAAGATGGTAAAAGGTGTTACAACAGAATAGTCAATATATTTAACAGAATAAAATTTTCCTTCCTATTAAAAATATCGTCTTTCATTTTTATACAGAAAACCGAAATTACTTTCCGAGCAACCCAATATATTTTCGAGATCGAAAATTAGTTCCTTCAATCGAAAGCAGTTGCTGATGCGATTCTTCGGTTTGCGAAACAGAATTTTCTGTTGCCGCAACCGAGCCCCGAGCCGTAACAGAAAATTTCCAGTTGCCACTGCGGAATATTTTTTTGCGTGTAGAAGCGGAAGCGTGACGAGAGCGCGAAGTCTCACATCGCTCGAGCGAAAGAATAAGGAAAAGATTAAAAAGATTAACAAAGAATTAAGATTGAGAAGTTGAGATTAAACAAGAACTAACAAAGAAAAGATTCGAAAAGAATCAAATCGCGTGACGCGAAACTTGTCGCTTCTCAAGTTTCCGCCCAAGGTCCCGCTCTCAGAAAAAAGCGACGCGATCGTCGCTCGGGATTTAATGTCGAGACGAGATTTAATGACGATTTTGCTCGATCGCGGGACGCGAAGACTTCCGCACGCAGCATGTTCTCAGCAGAGAACTTCTTTCGTTCTTCTTGCTCGAGGCTCTTCCCGCCTATTACTTCTGTCTTCTTTTTTCCCCTGCTATTCAATAACGATTCTAATTTATCCGACAATGTGCCTCGCGGGCAAGGTGTGACGAGCAAAGCGATCGCCGAGGATCTGCACTACGGCGATATTTCCTGCCAGCTCAACTCGACGACGCTGACGTTGGTCGACCTTCCGATACAATGCGAAGCCGCGAAGAATGCTACCTAGTAAGTACAGTTAATAAGTCCGCTAATGACCACCTGCTCCGGAAAGCGTCCGGCTGCGAGAGTCGGCGTGAGCGGCAGGAGGAATCACGAGTAAGCGCAATTAACGTCGTTTCCTCCTCCTTCTCCCGCGGCCGTTGACAACTAGATTTCCTTGCGAGTGATTGATTCATCGAAGCGAGGTTGATACCGCCAACTCATGCTACTCTATAATGACTTAAGATATCATGGATCGCGAGAATACGGGAAGGGGGGACACATAGCTTTATAAGAGAAAAAGAAAGATTGATGGAGCTGTCGTTGGAAAGCTCCAGGAAAGATTACTGGCAATCTCCGAGCCGAATACCGCGAAGAATTCCGTGGATGCATGACGCTATGGAAAAACTTCATCGGGATCGTCGTTCATTGTCGTCCGGAAGATATCGATCGCGGTTGGCCGACACGCGCGCTTCCCGTGCGCGATTATCGCGTTCGTCATTACCGCATCTCTCGTTGTTTTCATTTGATCCCCGTGTGACGGTGGGTGTACATTATGCGAACCAGCAACGAGCAAATAGCGAATGCAAACAGGTTCAGGTGCTCGTGCTCATTGTGTGTTTATTCTCTTCAACTTGGACAAAGTTGGACGAATAACGGAAACGAATACAAGTATGCAAAAATTTGCGTTTGTTGTCCATTCGTTCTCTTTGACTTGGACGAAGTTGAATGAACAATAAACGCGAATGCGAGCATTCGAAAATTTGCATTTGTTGTCGGTCTACTCTCTCTAACTTGGAAAGTTGAAAGAAGATGAACGAACAATGAACACGAATGCGGCATCTAAAAATTCGCATTCATTGTCCGTTCGTTCTTCTCAACTTGGCAAGTTGAACGAATAATGAAAGCGAATGCAAATATCCGAAAATTTGCGTTTGTTGTCTGTCCGGTCTCTTCAACCTGGGAAATTGAAAGAAGATGAACAAACAATAAACGTGAATGCGGCATCCGAAAATTCGCGTTCATTGTCTGTCCGCTCTCTTCAACTTGGAAAGTTGAACAAATAATAAACGTGAATGCAAACATCTGAAAATTTGCGTTTGCTATCTGTCCGTTCTCTTCAACTTGGAAAGTTGAAAAAAGATGACCAACAACGAACGCGAATGCGGCATCCAAAAATTCATGTTCATTGTCCGTCTGTTCTCCTCAACTTGGCAAGTTGAACGAATAATGAAAGCGAATGCAAATATCCGAAAATTTGCGTTTGTTATCTGTCCGGTCTCTTCAACCTGGGAAATTGAAAGAAGATGAACAAACAGTAAACGTGAATACGGCATCCGAAAATTCGCGTTCATTATCTGTCCGCTCTCTTCAACTTGAAAAATCGAACAAATAATAAACACGAATGCAAGCATCCAAAAATTCGCATTTATGATCCGTCCACTCTCTTCAACTTGGGAAACTGAAAAAAGATGAACAAACAATGAACATGAATGTAAACATGCGAAAATTCGCGTTCATTGTCTGTCCATTCACTTCAACTTAGAAAATTGAACGAATAATAAACAAGAATGCAAACATCCGAAAATTTGCGTTTATTGTCCGTCCACTCTCTTCAACTTGGGAAGTTGAAAGAAAATGAACAAACAATGAACGTGAATGCGACATCCGAAAATTCGCGTTTGTTGTGCATTCTCTTCGATTTGGACGAAGTTGAACGAATAATAAACGCGAATTCGAGCATCCAAAAATTTGCATTCGTTATTCGTCCGCTCTCTTCAACTTGGAAAGCTGAAGAAAGATGAATAAACAATGAATGCGAATGCAAGTATCCAACAATTTACATTCGTTGTCCGTTTGTTCTCCTCAACTTGGATGAAAGTAAACGAATAATGAACGCGGATGCAAACATCCGAAACTCTGCGTTCATTGTCCGTCCGGTTTCTTCAACTTGAGAAGTTGAAAGAAAATGAACAAACAATGAACGTAAATATGACATCCGAAAATTCGCGTTTGTTGTTCGTCCGTTCTCCTCGACCTGGCAAGTTGAACGAATAATAAACGCAAATGCGAGCATCTGAAAATTGGCATTGTCCGTCTATTCTCTTCAACTTGGAAAGTTTAAAAAAGATAAACAAACAACGAACGCTTGCATTTAAACATTTCCGTTCATTGCTCGTCCAGTTTTCTCAACTCGACTCAACCTGGCGACTTAAAAAGAACCAAACAGACAACAAACGTGTGAATACGAACGTTCGCGTCCTCGCTCGTTGTTCGTTCATTCAGCCCACTCCCACTTCAACATGCTCCTCATTGCCGCAGCTGCCAGTCTCTGGAGCTGAACGGGTCTTCCTACTGCGAGTGGAACTACAACGGTCTCGGTTTGGACTATCAGATCTTGGCGGGGCCCAGCTTCATCGCGGTCTTCACGATCGTGGGCGTTCTGTTGGGCATCGCAGCCGATAGGTACAACAGGTAATTTAATGATTGTTACATGTTGAATCTCCTCACGATTCGACGGAGAAAGACAGCCACACGAGGCTGCTCTCTTGTCCGATCGAGCGCGCTCTCACGTTTCATCTTGACTGACGCTCTCGTCTGCCCTGCCCTGTCGCAAGAGTGAGACTGCTGGCGATCTGCACTCTGATATTCAGCGTGGCGATCATTCTGATGGGAGCGGTGAAGGAGTACTGGCAGCTCGTCATTCTGCGAATGATCCTGGCGGCGGGGTAAGTACCGTGCTAAACGCTTCCTTCCGCTCGCGTAACGTTCCCATTCAGCCGGCCGCGAGTATTAATAATCGAAGTTGTGCGGCCGCGCAGAGAGGCGGGCTGCAACCCGATGGTGACCGGTCTACTGTCCGACTGGTTCCCGGAAGAGCAACGAGGCCTCGTCATGTCTATTTTCAATTGGGGCATTTATGGCGGTTACGGCATCGCATTTCCGATCGGCCGTTACGTGCCGCAGCTGAATGCCTGGGACCTAGTGAGTTTCACTTCTCTGCGATCTCTATTGTCCCCTTTGTATCTCTTTTTGCTTTTCCTCCCTCCCACCCTTCCCCCCTTCTTTCTTTATCGCGTTAAATCATGAAGCCGGCACGTCTCGCCGCCGGTCTGTTTTCTATTCGCTGCCACTCCCTTAATTTCCGGAAAAGAAGACACAATAGGAGCCGCGAGACGGAGTTGAATATCGGAATTGTGTCGATCGGCGAAATAACCGCGCGGAAGAGCTCGTGTAATGGCCGAGACCTAGATGATGCAGGTCGACGCGGAAAAGCAACACGAGCGCTCGACAATTACCGTTGATCGAGTTAAGGTCACCACATATAAAATTCCGTAAGGACGTAAGACGTAAACTTAAGACATAAAGTCCATGACACACAGTTGGCGTAAAACATAAAGTTCAATCAATAGCAAACACGAAAGATTCCCTCCTATTCATAAAAGTTTAATCTATGATCTATTCTTTGCAGCTGCACTAGTTAACAGTACAGCTATAAAGAACACTAACAATTGAAGCAAGGCTTCTAGCTGAAACATTGAAGAACACAAAGAACTGATCATTAGAGTGTCAATGCTGTGTGCCATTCCATCAAACAGAACAAAGTATGCTATATAATTGATTGATTGAACTGCGGATTCTATTAGGGGTATGCAAAAGTTTTCATCGGTTTTAAGACAACGTTTTTAATTAATATTATAAATGACATAGTATCTTTAATCGAAACATTATCTACTACATTTTGCCATCTTTCAGGCAAAAAATAGACACCATGATAAAAGAAGTCTTTGCTCTTAGAATGAATGAAGTTGAATTATTGCATTTCCTCAATATATTGCGAAATCGAGTACCAGAAAAATTGTGTAGCTGGAACGAAATAAGTGAGAATCCGATGGAGCAATATCTGGAGAATATGCCGGGTTAGGACTTCCTATTGCAATTCCATTAAAACTTTCCGGGTCGTCAATGTAACATGGGGCCTGGCATTGTCTTGCAAAAAAATCACTTTGTTTTGCTTTGTCGCAAAATATAGCCGTTTCTCGATCAATTACTCATTCAACTGCTTCAATTGTCGACTATATAATTCCGTGGTGATAGTCTGAGATGGTTTTAACAGCTCATAATACATCCTACATGTCCTACCAGATACACAGGACCTCATGACCATGGATACTTCGTTTTGACTGTAACGTAGAGGATTCTCCGGGACTTACCCACGATCTTTTGCGATTGTCATAATAAGTCCAGTTTTTCGTCTCCGCCCACAATTCGCCCACAAAAGAGACTTGTGTTTGTGTCTATTGAGCAGCGAAAGGCAAATGGTAACTTTGCCTTGTTTGACTTTGGTTGACAATAGCGTTCCCGGATAATTCGTGAGGGGACCCATTTTCCTTTCTTCAGAATTTTCCCCATCTCATGCAAGCATCGATTTACAATGTTCTGATTAACATGTAACCTTTTCGCAAGTTCTATACTCGATTGTATCGAATCTTCTTGCAATAACGCTTCCAAATCATCCGAACTCATCTTTTGCGGTCGCCCGGCACGCTCCTTGTCTTTCAAAATCACCACTTAAAGCGTCGACATTTTCACTCACGACATGAACTTTTTACTATCGTTCATATTACAATATTGATTGTGTGATCATTCACTTTATCGAAACAAATGCACGTATAATCTCACCTCATTATATTGGCTCCAAATTCCAAACTAAAGAGTATAAACATGTGATAATTTGTAACTGGCTATTCAGAAAACGTATGTATAAGAATTTCATCCTCACGGTTTTTTTTCAACGTTATATTTTGCATCTTACGGATAAAAGTTGAGAGGTTATGGAAAGCTGAATACTCGATTGGGATTGGTCAATTTCCTTATGCTTATGTCTTACGTCCTTACGGAATTTTATGTGTAATGACCTTTATAAGCGCGAGTTATAGGACGACTGATCGACGTGAGTCACATGATAATAATGGCGAATCGTGTTGATCGGCAGGGCTGGAGAGTCTGTTATTACGGAGCCGGCGTGATCGGTATAGTCATCGCCATTCTCACCGGTCTGACGCTGACTGAGCCGACGAGAAAGACAATCGGCGAGGAGACGACGGCCAATGACGGGAAGCAAGTATCGATTTGGAAAGTGATACTGCAACCGCGCGTTATTCTCTTATGCCTCGCCGCCAGCATTAGACATTGCGGTAAAGGGTGATACCTTGACGCGAAAGGATTCAAATCGAGGGTACATTAGCGAGTCTAAAGCGAGCTTGAACTAATCTGACGAACGCGCATCGCTGTAATACTCTCATTTCTCTTCGAGTAATGAGGCGTGACAATTTCATTTCCCGGAATGCATCTGCAAAAGACAAGCAGATATCAATGATGTCAGAAAATCTTCGTTCCTTTGGAGCAATCTTGAATTGGATACCGGTCGGAAATCACAAGGGGCTAAGTTCTGAATAAATAGGATGATCTAATTGGATAATCGATTTTTGAGTGAGAAACTTCCTCTCACGGTGAGAACAAGAGTTCACGCCAAAGTTCACATACAGACCTCTATTGTTTTCGCAACAGTCATAATAATAAGTGGCTCTAGCGACCTGAGGTTTACGCACGGATTAGTTACACAAACACATAATACCTAGAACTTAGAAACACATATACCTAGAATGCGTGTTTGAAGAGTGGGGGTAGAGCTCACGTAGAAAAGGATGTACTCTGTTTTGTCTTTGCGTTCTCTCTCGCACATTCTCGATGGGGAGGAAATAGGGAAAACAGTTGCTAATCTATACAACAGTGCAGCCGCTGTCTTTTTATTTTTTTCCGATATAGTGATCAACTTAGATCACATACCATGCCTTCAGCTCACTTCGAGATATATACCGGTACAGCCGCTGTATTGTCGTACAGATTAGCAATTGCCTTCCCTATTCTCCTTCCATCAAGAGTATGTGAGAGAGAACGCATAGACAAAACAGTGTGCATCCTTTTCTATATGAGCTCTACTCCCACTCTTAAAATTTGGGAGAATGCACAGTCCAGGTATATTACGTCTATGCATGATTATTCACGTGACTCCATTCAAATCACCACACAACTGACATCACGCGGTCGCTCCGGGAATTAATTAAATCGTCACATCTCGCACCTTTCTCCTGAGTTCTGCATACATGTGTGTATTCGATTCGACGACTTCAAGGGGGAAAATCGGAAACTCCGTCTGACACAATATTCTAATTAAAATTTAGATTCGTCGGAAACAACATTTACTGAACATTTGCGGAACATTTTCTTGTGAGAAGCACAATTTTTCTTGTTGTATTGTGCTATATGTGGGCTCTCGTTGGCTCTTTCTATTTCATTATTAATTGAACATCAGCAGGGCCTTTCCGTGTTTTTATTTGATAAAAATTCATTTAAAAGTTGGCTTATTGGCTCTCTTTATTTCATTATTAATTGAACGTCAACATAGCCTTTCTCCACTGACTTTTTTAATATAATATATAAATTTTTTGATTCCTGCAAGTACCTAAACGCAAGAATAATCGCAAGGTCATAAAGACTTTAATCTCCTCAGCTCGCGTCTCTCTTCAATTCGTCGCGACAACGAATCAGTGACTCGTTTTCTATCTACGTTACAATTCTTCCTTTTTTTTTCTTTTTGTTTGTTTTTCTTGATCGCACGTGATGCTACGCGAATGGGATTAAATCATGAACGTTTTTTCTTTCAGGTGGCATGTGCTTCGCATACAATTGCGATCTCTACTATAGAGACTACTTCCCGGACTACGACTTCGGCTGGTTGCTGTTCGCCGTGACGATTGTCATCGGCAGTATCGGCGTCGTGGTCGGTGGGGTAATTAGCGACAAGTTCGTGGCGAAGATGGGAATCAGGTCGCGCGTGGCCTGTTTGGCGATCAGCCAGATAATCGCGACGCCGCCTGCCTTCGGCTCGGTATACTTTAATCCTCTCTGGGCCATGATCACGTTAGGATTCTCTTACTTCTTCGGTAAGGAGTAACTTTATGGCGGGAATCAATTAACGCGAGCTCCGCAATCCCGAAAGAACACGCGGCAGCAAATCCGCGTTCATCACAAGTCAATCATACCTCTGATAAGATTTAGATAAAAATTTGACGGGAATCGCGACGAAAAATAATTATATGTGAACTTTGTTTCTTTATGGCCATACACAATCATATCTAATTATGCATGTCCACGAGGAAAAAATGCTGTTGCATAATTGTATTTGCACAAGTCTTGTTGAAAGTAACTTTTGCAAATTATGGCAACGCATAATGCCGTATGATTGACTAAAACCGTTTTTTCTTCTCTTCAGTTGACTCAACGTTTTTCTCAATGTGTGTGTACATGTATAAATGCATGATTATATCAGGTGTAGTAAAAAGAAATCCATTATTTTTCCAATAGATGGCTTTAGTTATCTGTATCTCGCGTTGTATAAGTCCGATCGGGTTCCACTAGGCGTCAGAAAGATGAGATTTCGTACTAAAAAAACTTTTCTGACAGTTTTGTGATTAGTTGACTCAGTTTTGTTTGAGCGCGCGTCAAAGATGGACACTAGCAAAGAGAAAATACGCTATATTTTAGTTTTTCTTCGATAAAGGCGAAAACGCAAGCCAGGCGGCTGAAAATGTGAATAGTGTTTATGGTCCTGATACTGTAACAGCCAATCACGCGCAATTTTGGTTTCGTCGATTCCGTTCCGGTAATTTCGATGTCAAAGATGCACCACGCACTGGAAGGCCAATTGTCAAAAATATCGATAAAATCATGGACATTGTCGAGTCCGACCGTCATATAAGCACTGTTTCGATTGCCCAAGAGCTAAAGATTGCACAAAAAACCGTTTGGAACCATTTGAATAAGGCTGGATACAAAAAGAAGCTCGATGTATGGGTGCCACACGAGTTAACGAGAAAAAACCTTATGGACCGAATTTCCATCTGCGAATCGCTGCTGAATCGCAACAAAATCGACCTATTTCTGAAGCGGTTGGTCACTGGTGATGAAAAGTGGATCACTTACGACAACGTCAAGCGAAAACGGTCGTGGTCGAATCATGGTGAGCCGGCGGAAACGGTGGCCAAGCCAGGATTGACGGCCAGGAAGGTTTTGCTGTGTGTTTGGTGGGATTGGCAGGGAATTATCTAATATGAGCTGCTCCCCTACGGCAAAACTCTTAACCCGGAACTATACTGTCAACAATTGGACCGTCTGAAGGAAGCAATCGCCCAGAAGCGGCCAGCTTTGGCCAATAGGAGAGGAATTGTGTTCCATCAGGACAACGCCAGGCCACACACATCGATAGTGACTCGCCAGAAGCTCCGGGAGCTTGGTTGGGAGGTTCTTATGCATCCACCTTATAGTCCGGACCTGGCAACAAGTGATTACCATCTGTTCCTGTCCATGGCGAACAATTTTGCTGGTGAAAAATTCGCTTCAAGAGAGGCTTGTAAAAATCGACTGTCTCAATTTTTTGCCAATAGGGACGAGGGCTTCTATGAGAGAGGCATAATGAAATTACCTTCAAAATGGCAACAAGTTATCGAACAAAACGGCGCATATTTGATCTAAATCGGATCATTCTAACTATGGTAATTAAAGCCTTCAATTTCATGCAAAAATAATGGATTTCTTTTTACTACACCTAATATATAGGGTGTCCGGGAAATCACCTGCAGAATTTCGGAAAGTAATTCGAGATCCAAAAAGAAGAAGAAAAGCCATATAAATATAAGTCCAGAAGTAAGTCGTTTCCGATATTAGCTATTTCGTTATAGCCACTTTTATATTAAAAATATCGTAATTCATATAATGTAATCCATTTTTGTTTTTTTAATTTAAAAATTTTGTCGCATTTTTAAATTTTGTTGAGATTCTTTTATCTTTTTAATTTTATTTTCCACTATTTTTATATGTTTATTAAATTTTGTATGGAATATGGGATAAAAATTTATGAAATCGAACACTTACTTAAAGTCGAATGCAGCTATGAAAATTTCGAGCCGAGTAGAGCGATATTTAATTTTGAGTTTTACAAGCGTCAATTGTAAAGGCTCAGAAGCAGCAAGCAGCTGTAGAAAGCAAGTTTATTTCCAGCTTCATTTTGAGTTTGTAATCAGAGTACATTTTTTTTTTCATTTTTTATTCACTCATTCAAGACAGTTTTGCACAGGTTCCAAATTATTATTTATTAGGTCAATCGGAAAGTTCCGTCCGTTTTCTCGTAAAACATATGACTTCATTTAAGAAACAAAATGAAAAAGTACATCAATCAAAGTATTGTCCATCGTTAGCGATGACTTTTTCCCATCTTTCGGTTAGCAAGCGAATTCCGTGGCGAAAGAATGACTCATCTTTGGAGGCTATCCAGTCAGAGACCCATTTTTCGACGTCTTCATAAGAAATGAAGCATTCGTCAGCAAGTGCGTGTGCCATCGACCGAAACAAGTGGTAGTCGGAAGGGACAGTCTGGTGAATAAGCCGCCTGAGGTAACACTTCCTAGCGAAGTGCTTCTAACGTTTCCTTGACAGGTTTTGTGACATGAGGCTGAGCGTTGTCATGAAGCAAAATCACTTTATGCTGTCTCGTTTCATATTCTCGTCGTTTTTCGTGCAATGCTCGACTCAAACGGATCATTTGTTCTCTGTAGAGATCCCCTGTGACTGTTTGACCACTTTTCAACAGCTCATGGTACAGCACACCCTTTTGATCTCACCAAATACAGAGCATTGCCTTCTTTCCGTGGATATTCCGCTTTGGCGTCAATGTTGAAGGTTGGCCGGGATCGCAAATAGTTTTTCGACGTTTGGGATTGTCAAAATAAATCCATTTTTCATCCCCAGTGATGATGCGATGTGAAAACCTCTTTCTTTGTTGCCTAGCGAGCAGAATTTCGTAGGTGGTTTTCCGCCTTTCAATGTTTCTTGGCTTCAGTTTATATGGGACCCATTTTCCTTCCTTGTAAACCTTTCCTGAGGCTTTCAAACGATCGGAAATGATAGATTGAGCACAATTTAATGCTTCTGCAAGTTGCTTTTGCGTTTGACATGGGTCTTCGTCCACCAATGCCTGCAATTCTTCGTCTTCGAATACTCTTGGCCGTCCAGAACGCTCTTTGTCCTCTGCATCAAAATCACCAATTTTAAAGTGTCGAAACCATTCTTTGCATGTTTTATCGGAAGGAGCATTATCACCATAAACTTCTACAAGCATTCGATGAGCTTCAGCTGCAATTTTCTTCCAATTAAAGCAAAAGATTAACACTTCGCGCAAATGACGCTTATTTGACTCAAATTCCGACATTTTCGATGCAGTGAAAAACAATGTTATTGATGCAAACGTATACTTTTATGTACTGAATGTTATTGACAGATGTCAAAACAAACTATTAAGCTTCGTTTCGACATTACAGGTTAACGACAGTTCTAGCTATAGCTACTTGTCGCTAAACGGATGGAACTTTCCGATTTACCTAATAGCAACACCTTACTTATCTTAAATACTTCGAGATTCTATCTAATCTTTCTGTAATCAACAATGGATTGTTTGAGTTTTAATGAATTAGCTGACATGCATCTTATGTATGGTCCTGCTTAACCCTTTAACGCCTATTGATAACTATAGTTACTAGAAACGCATTTAAGAATCCATAACTTACTCAAAAAAGGAGATATTTTCGTTTTCTTTGCACCACTGTAAAGGTGAATTCTTCTTCTAAAAAATGGTATATAGATTGTATGTAGATTCGGTTTAGTCTTTTTTTAGCTCAGTTTCAATGATAACATGTTTTGTCAAATTCCAAGTAGGTATAGTTAGCATTGTTACTGACATCTAGAAGTGCACTATAAATGAATAGATTGGTATCTCTTATAATTTTATACATTTGGAAGCTTTCTCAGATGCAAAATGTGAAATTAAAAGAATACAGAAATTCAAAATGGCGAATCCAATATGGTGGACACGAAAATCAAGAAATCAACCTATTTTCATGAAACCTGGTGACCTACAGTTTTTTATGCGGCGAAAAATGAAGGGACGATTGACTATCTAAGTGGTGATCTATAAGATATTCTTCTGAAATAGTAAGCTTGACGCTCTGAATGATAAACTTCACTCACAAATATAGTAAAGTTTCAGCTCAAAAATGTCAAGCTGACTATCAGAGTTATGTCGTATAGATTACCCTTCATTTTTCTCTGTATAGGTTGTTCATTTCGTATATGCTTCTAGAACCCAAGTCATATTTACCAATAAACAAAAAACGAACGATAAAGAAAACCAATATAAAATTCTGATATTTTTTTTGGTTATCACTACTTATAGTCTCAGTTAAAAAAACTCAAATTTTATTCTTAAAACACTTATAAAAAAGTCGGGCGTTAAAGGATTAAGGTAATGCTACCGAGGTAAGAAGATTATATGCTCAGTCTTTTCTAAATTGATATGTACTGGGAAGAGAGTCTTTCCAAAGTGTAGACAGAACCTTGAGAGAATTTGGTTAAAAAAAACATTAAAAAAGAGAACGAGAAGGCAGACCTAGAGTAGATGTTGTAACGAAAGAAGTACTTGAAAAATTTGAGCATAACCTTGTTAGAACTAATGTTAGAACTGTTACGGATGAAATCGAAGTAACAAAATCAATGATATAAGACACTTTATCAAAATTTAAATTATTATTGTTTTAATATAATGTTGCCATAACTCAGAAACGACTTATTTCCGAACCTATATTTATATAGTTTTTTTTCCTTCTTTTTCCTCCCAAATCCCGAAGTATTGCAGACGATTTTCCAGACACCCTGCATATGACCATATAGTGACAAATGCATGTATGGATCATATATAATTATATACATTACATTATATAATTTATAATTATATATATAATTTTATGCAATTTATATATAATTATGTATGATTTTATACAGATTTCTATATAATTATATATGATTTTATATAATTTATATATAATTATATAGAATGTTTAAGAAAAGGGATTCAAGACTTTAAGGATTTTAAGATAATGTTCACAAAATAGGGCAAAATAAAGTCCTAACGGACATAGGTCGAAAAATTAATGTTGTCGTAGTTACGAACAATTATTTATTTTAATCAAAACAAATGACTTATTTGCTTCTCGTGCACGGCCATACATGAAATACATTTCTGTCATTTCTTGATTAGAACAATACGATGTCATTCTTATCGTACTGCGAAAACTTTGTGATGGTTCTTTATAACTGTTTACTGTTCACAAGAATATTTGGTAAACAATTGCTTGAGGTAAAGAGTGTGTATAAAAGAAAGAAAATAGATGTTTGTTTACATCCCGAGCAAGAGCAAAGATACTTTTTTTTAAGGATTTCTTTAAAGCATAGTACTCTTTACCCAATAAATGACAAAGGCAAATTACATTAGAGAATGCAAAAGCAGGCAAATATAATGGAAAAATATAAAAGATATAAAAAAACGTTTCACACAAAGTTGTTTGGTTTGAAAACAGCGATATCACTTTATTTACAGATGGCGCCACTTTCGAGATATTCTCTGATCATCACTTTTCTTATTTAAGAAAATAAATTGGTAGAAAGAATAATATAATAAAAAATTGGGGTTTCCACTTAAGAAAAATGATGATCAATGAATATCTCGAAAATAGTGCCATCTGTAAACAAAATAATGTCGCTGTCTTATGTTCCTATTCAAATCGAACAACTTTTGCCTGAAACGTTTTTCTGTACCTTTTATACTTTTTTTTTGTACCTTTTATATTGTACCTTTCGTGATATTCGCTTGCGGCATTTAAACTGGGAGACACCCTGTATAATTATATATAATATTTTATATGTAATTTCTTCGATTCGGATATCAATGAAATAAACCACATCGCGACCGCATCTACTATTCTCGCAACGTATACGCGTCGCTTCCATTCGCAGCCGAGATGTGGTTCGGGATAGTGTTCGCCATCGTGGTGGAGATTGTGCCGCTGAATCTGCGCTCCACCACCGTGGGCATCTTCCTGTTCGTCATGAACAACATCGGCGGCAATTTACCGATCCTCGTCGAGCCCACCAGGACGGCCATCGGCTTCCGGGAGTCGTTATACATCTTTTACGCCGGCTTCTATGGCATCAGTGAGTATCGCGTAGCGCCGCGTGATCGATCGCAATCGCGGTCGTCCAGCCTTTTACGCGGCAGCATCGGCGACTTCCGCGAACGTACGATGCTAATTACCGACACACGACACCGTAATAATACCAATGTATCAAATCGCTTCGCGTCGCGTTGATGGTGTCGTTTGACACTTCTCTTTCACTCCGCAGGTTCCATCATGTTCTTCTTCACCATGTTTCTAATGGACGGACCTGTGGAGACGGAGGTGAAGCGACAGGTGGACCAGGAGTTGGACAAGACGGCCCCGCCGGCTTACGACAATAGCATGTTCACTAACGACGACGGCCAATTGCCAACGTTGGAACTGCCGCGATTATCACCGCGACCACCCCTCTATGAGAGCTCCCGATTATGAGACGGCTAGCAGGAGTCGTTCCATAGAGTAGTTCTGTAAATAGTACCTCTAGCTTTCCGCGTGTCTTTCAATCGACGGTCGTGTAGCTTCGACAACCGGGCAGATATCCTTCCGACAACATTAAAGGAAGATTCACGCCTTGGCAGAAAAGCAGAAAGTAGAAAGGCGACATCCAATCAGAAGTCGCGCTGATAGTTTGTCTCTCCTTTGAGAGAGAGGTAGAAGAGAGGCAGACTACCAGTGCGAGTTCTGATTGGTTTCTGCTCTTCTGCCAAGGTGTGAACGCCGTCAACGTCAACTGCGGATTGATCGATCGTGGGGAAAATTACCACGTCTCTCTCTCTCTCTCTCTCTCTCCCCCTCCCTCTCCCCCCTCTCTCTCTATCTGTCTGTCTGTCTGTCTCAATATTGGCTCCAGACGCTTGTTAAGGCGAATTCCCCAATGCTATTGTTCGGGAATTACTACATGTCAGAATTACTCACAACATAACGACGCGTTCGAAATATGGATTCTGTCATCGCTCGCGGTCGAAGATTTCATTGGCAGCTACGCTGCACGCCGTTCTCGGTGTGGATCGATATGATAGCTTTTTTTTTACGTCGCCTCGAGGCTCGTTGAGAAAATGACGGTCGCTATGATGAAGAATAATTGTTCGCTCCGAGCGCAAAATCGGTTGCGAAATATCCGTCTTCATGCACCACGCGAGTTCGAGGTCCCGAAGAGGAAAGTCGATCTTACGAATTTCTATTACGGAGGAAAATGTTCGATAGAACGAATCTTTCAATGAAGTATGAGCGATTCCGAAATTTCAACTGAGAACGCCAGAATTCCGTTCAAGTTAACTGGAAGTCTTGGTGACTCGGACTGAATTCTGACAACTTCAAACGGAACTTTCGTCTCGTTCATTTTTCCCTCTCTCCGCATAAGCTTGCAAATTCTGAACTTAAAGACTAGTGAAAAATCCCATGACGTGACGTCGGCTAATATCACGTTCCACCTCGATAAAACACTTGTTCACCGCTGATTTCCCGCGTTGGCTCGGGATTTTTTAAGTAAGAGCAGATTCCACAAGGAGTTCTATGCGCGAGATCATACGTCGCAAATTCACGTGTGTTAATTTGACACGCATAAGCGTATAATTAGCTGCGTTTTTTGCACGTTTCTTAAATCACGTCATTTAATTCGTTCAGACATTTAACCCGACGTCATTGAGGCTGAGTCATAATGACCCGAGAGACGTTTCTTTAAACCCATTAAATATCTTATCAAATTACCTACATTGAGAGACTACTGTTCCATGAGAAAGCAACCAGCTTCCTAAAACCATAGCTGACACCGCTGAGAGTGAACGAAAAGATACTCGGGTCACCATGACTCACCTCGACGTGTGTGTACAACATTTTACCGCCACAACAAGACGCCGAGTCAACGCGTTCAAGCGCATTAAATGTCGTGACTCCAACCGACAAGTAACGCGTAAAGAAAGCTTCAGCCAACTGCACGCTCGCGTATGTCAGATCAACACGCTCGGATTTGTGCAGTGTACCCGCTTGACGACACGCACTCGCGTATTACAAGACTCTCGCAAGATCTCACGAGATCTCGAAGATAGCGTCCCGTCGGAAGAAGGATATGTCTTCGCAGGAAGTGGCGACAAGGACACTGACGACACATCGGCGATTGCGCCTCGCAAAAGAGAAGTTTTTATTGAGAAAGTCACATAAATTAATTAGCATTAAGTTTAAGACGATTGGTATCGGTGTGTTATATCACATATCGTAGACAGCCTGTTGGCGTTTACCCGCGACGGGTAATGCGAAACACGACGACGACACATATTATTACACGTTGCACATTCGCGCGTTACGGATCACTTGGATCACGCTGTGTGATTGAACGCTCTCTACTTTACACGTGACACGCGAGCGATTACGAGCTAGGAGTGAGATTCGCCGTCTTCTTCTCCTTTCTATATATATATATATATATGTACAAATTATTTAATATAAATAATACAACACAAGTCTACTTTTCCACTTTGTAATGTACAAAAACGAGGGACAACTGAGGGACGCTGCTGATACGCATCCTCCGACGAGGACGCGCATGCGCACTCGAGTGCCGACAACTTCGACGGGGAACTCTGTCATGAGATGCTGCGTTATGTCTAAAACGGGGTTTACAATGACAGCAAGAGTAAGTAATGGACGAAAAGAGTAGTCTTTAGACGTAAGCTGTAGAATTAAGACCTTACATTTGAATGTCTGTAATACCGTGTAATAAGCATTACAATAAGCCAATCAGTGTCAATGCGCACCTCCTGTCGCGTACGTTGCTGCCGAACTCTCATTGGCTGAGAGTAAGGGAGCAAACCGTAGGAAATGGAATGCAACCATTTCGAATACGGCCTTATTCGACGTCCTATACTCCTGGAAAAGCAGCTTACTCCGATGTCTTACAGCCTCAATTCACTACTCCCGCTGCCATTGTAGACGATGCTTAACGTGCAGCCGTACCGAAGCTACGACTGATTCCGAAAAGTCCTCCCCCGCTCTCTCGGCACACTTCAATGTTTCCGCTTGAGAGGCACTCGTCTTCGCATCGAGACGCTGCCATGAGTGAGAAAGCTAATATCGAAATTAACTCAAACCGACGTTGATTCGACATCGTTTCAACATCGACTGACGAGTCATTTCTCGCTAGACAGTCCAGCGAGTTTCCGGCGAGAAGACTTTTCGACCAACCTGAGGTTCATTCTTTTTCGAAGAACTTTTTGCACTAGTGTGCACTAATGCAATGAGTGTATATTTATGTCCAATTTCTTCATCCGTAGATAAGTTCTCGATAACTTTATCCGATATTTCCCAGAATAGATTTCCTTCATCTTTGTAAAATTTATATTCAGCAGATAAACTTATCGTCTCCTCGAAGTAGCGGATATCTGACAAATATTAATTTCAGTGCTTCAACATAGCCTAAGAAACTACAAAATATGTAATCGTTTTTGTGAAAGCACAAATATAGTAATAGATTTGTTGTTCGTAGATCAATAGCCGCATTCGCAGAAAAAGCTGCTTACTAAGCACTTAGTGATTATCGTTCTTGATAATCGTTCGTTCTCTTGAATCCGTCAAAGATCTAAAGAATCTAAAAGAACACTCCAATCATAGATAATGGGTTTATTTTTTCCAGCTGTACTACTTTAAGAAGTGTACACTGAAGTGCTCTTTTTAGTAGAAGTGACGTCAGATGTTCTTTCCATCAATGCAGCAGAATTTAGTGCAACAGTTCATTGTAATGCTTGCATTAGATTTGGAGTTAGTAGCAGCTCAGTTGCGAGGGCAAAATTTATACCAGTTCAGGCAGCATATTTGAAAAGAACAGACTTACAGTTATTAGGTTATCAGATACTTCCGCAGTTTTTACTATATTAATATTAATCAATCATACCACATGAAATAATAAAATCGCTAGAACGAAACTTCTCAAATCATCGATTTACTGTGCGTTCATTGGCCACATTTTCACCAAACACTTTGTTGATATTTCGAGTTGTCTGTGCTGTATTAGTTCCATAATGAAACTCATATTCGAAAACAACATGAATTTTTTACTTATCCATGTTATACAAAAACTGTTATAATAAAGACAATTCGAAAGATAATCACAAACCAAAACATGTGTTTAAAAGACTAATGATATACCTTCACAACAACAAAAATTCAAGAACTATAAAAGTGAAATGTCTGAGATGTCGACTGTCGAACTTAGTACTTAAGGAAATTGGACATTTCATATTTAGTGACCTAATACAAATATGTTATGTCGCTCCAATAATATCATAAAATATATGTTAAATGCCTGCATGCTATTACCAACATGTCTGTCTATCTGCCCATACAGTACAAAAGTTGCAGCAACATTGCAATATTGCAACAATGTTGCAGTAATTTTTGTGCTGTATGAGTGAGGAACTTTCAGTGAAGGAAATGAATTTTTAGTTATAACGGATATCCTTATCTGGAAGATAGCTATTGGAAAATATGAAGAAACTAGGCTTAAAGTATTTTTTCTTTGTCGGAAATGCGACATCACTGGTCTTTTTCGAAGTATCATAGCGGTCAGTACAAACAGTTCACTGCATTGGTTATCTTGGGTCTTGAACTAGTGCAGCCAGTTCAATGCAGTTTTGCACCGAAATCTAATCTAACCTAACCATAAAAATACTAGGTGCGCAACTAAGTTTCCGAACTTTTTTGATCAATGAAAAATGGAAAATTTCAAGAGAAATACAAAAAATGGTTTATTCAAAGTATCGTCCCTCGCTAGTTACACATTTTTGCCATCTCTCTGGCAATACATGAATACCGCGACGATAAAACGACGCGTCTTTGGACCGAAACCATTCATCCAACCAATTTTGCACTTCTTCGAAATTGGCCAAGTGTTGCCCAGCCAAGCCATGCGCCATCGACCGGAACAAGTGATAATCGGAAGGGGCCAGGTCTGGCGAATACGGCGGGTGCGGTAGCAGATCCCATTTCAGCGTTTTGATGGTGTCCTGGACGATGGAAGTGCGATGGCACGGAGCGTTGTCATGCTGCAATATCACTCGTTCGTGTCTCGTATCCCATTCTAGCCGTTTTTCGAGCAATGCATGGTTCAAATTGATCAGATGTTGTCGGTAGCGATGCCCATTGAGAGTTTCGCCCAGTTTCAGCAGCTCATAGTACACGATTCCTTTCTGGTCCCACCAAATGCAGAGCATTGTCTTCTTTCCGAAGCGATTTGGCCGTGCCGTCGATGTTGATGCTTCGCCAGGTGAAAGCCACGATTTTTTGCGTTTGGGATTCTCGAAATATATCCACTTCTCATCGCCAGTAACAATTCGATACAGGAAATTCTTTTCTTTCATGGCGCAAAAGCAAAATTTCGGAAGTGGCTCTTCGATTTTCCATCTATCTCTCACAAGGAGATGCCACGAACTGCTAACTCTACTTTTGAATGAGCTATAGTGCATTCGAAAGGGGAGGTCGAGAGTATAAACCGTGTCAGAGCTTTTGGGTGTATGAGCTTTAGTTTCGGAGAAAATTTATTGTAAAATGATGTAATTTTCAGCTGTACGGTAAGTACAATGGATAGCCATAATTTTGCATGAAGCGCGCTGGCTGTGCAGGTTAGGCGTGCGGCTACTATTTTGCGTCCGTGCGAGCAGAATTCAATTCCCCGTAATTTGACAATTTTTTTTTGTTTTTTTTAGAATAAATGATTGTTTATGAATTAATTGTAAATTTATTTATTTATTATTCGTTATAGTAAGAGAACGTATACATAATGAAAAATATCAATAAATTTTGTGTTTTTATTGTACTGTGTCTTTATTCATTATAAAATTCCGACATCACTGTACAATGTTGCGGGTGATAATTTATATAAAAACATTCGAAGCATAAATGGATCGCACACCATGAACATTTTATAAACGAAAACTGCGTATTGCAGATACATTTTTTCTTATATACATCCGGTGGAAAACACAATTGATTAACATTATGAAATATGTCACGTTTATCTGCTAATTTTGACGCGTACCAAGCGAATTCAATCATTTTTACATATCGCGGAGCACATAATAAATAATGAGTTAATGATTGAATTCGAATTGCATCATATCGCGAATTTAATTCTTTCTTTTCTTCGCTAACCATAATCCGGACAATTTTGAATACGTTTTATAATAATTTTCACTTGCCTATAAAAATAAACGTCGCAAGGTTGACAGATTGGAGTACATTTTGGCGGTATTATTTGCAAATTGCATGTTGGTTTGTTTTCATCATTTACAAAAATTTCATTGTACATATGAATATTTTTTTGACCTCCCCAAGTCGACAATCATCAAGAAGGAATTGTTCCCAACATACGGTTTTACAACTGTTTTTAAATATTCTTTATACAATTGAGAGGTCAGTTTACCCGACTTTAAACAAACGACAATAACATTTTTACATAATTTTACAAGTTCGTCAACTTCTGCTTTGACACGGACTCCAAATGTGTCTCCAGGTTCTTGTAAACATACAAAAACTTTATTTAATAATATTCCGGATTTTGTCATGGAATATTGAGCAGTATACGAATGAGTTATCTTATTTAAGTCGCCTATAAAAAGTTCTACTGTTTTTTCACCCTTATGTGTGTATGTTCTTGAAACATTAGCTCGATACTCACAACCTATTTGATCTGTATTGATAATATAATCAGAATCGTAATCCGTAGAAATTGATTGTATCAAGTTTTGAAATTGTATTGCAGATTTGGAAACTTCTTCTGGCGATTTCATTTCTCTTTTGGATACATAGCGAACGACGCGACGATTAGAAATGCCATAATTTTAATAAAATTCGTTACCCAAGATGCCGATGCTGTAAATTGAAAAACGTTTCCTTCTGTTTCGTTGTCTGCATCTCGAAATTGCATTACAGTAGCCATAGCCCACTGCTGTAATTGTCGCCTTGTTACTAATTGTTTATGGTCACGTGCTTCAGAAAATCGATCATAGACACATTTTTTTACATTATCCAGTTTCACTGCATAAGTGCCACCATTTATTACATCTTTTCTAAATTGTGCAATATCAGTTTTGTGGCGTAAATGTTGTTTAAATCGCTTTTGTAGACCATGAAAACTCCACGTTGGATGCTCGTTTGCGGTCATAACAATCTTTAATTTTGTATCAAAAGGCACTCTATCCTGATATGAAACTTTCTCAGGTGGCACATATTCTTCCTCCGATGTTGATGATGTCGATTCTTGCAGTTCCTCTTCTTGAATATTCTCTACTTCTTTTTCGTTTGGTGAAAAATATTCCACATCTACCATCATACATTTTCCTAACATTGAAACGAAGCTTTCGAATAATTTTCCAGCAACCTCTTTAGCCGAATGCATAAATTTTTTGGGTACTTCAGCATAAATCAAATCAAATTTTATTAGCATATCTGCAAAACAGGAAATATCTTTGTATATTTCTGCATATGTTCACAAATGTGAGTGTTTATAAAAATATACACACAAATTATTTAATTATTGTTATTTGATTATTAAATTATTTAATTATTTATTACCTTTAAAATATGCAATGCTGTCAGTTAAATCTTCTTTTGTAATATCACACTTTGCCAATGCTTGGATATGTTCTTTCAAAAACAAATCCACACTTGACCCTTCCATTTTTATTATATAAAATCAATTTAACACAAAGGATGCTCGCAGACTTGCTTACTGATCGACACACGTGAGAACAGTGAGGGAAATCCAACGGACTTTAGGGTCACGGTCCTAACGGTTGTTGTCTGTGAGCATGTGCCACAGACAAATACTAGAAACTTCTTAAAAAGTCCGTTATATGATGCAATTCGAATTCAATCATTAACTCATTATTTATTATGTGCTCCGCGATATGTAAAAATGATTGAATTCGCTTGGTACGCGTCAAAATTAGCAGATAAACGTGACATATTTTATAATGTTAATCAATTGTGTTTTCCACCGGATGTACATAAGAAAAAATGTATCTGCAATACGCAGTTTTCGTTTATAAAATGTTCATAGTGTGCGATCCATTTATGCTTCGAATATTTTTATATAAATTATCACCCGCAACATTGTACAGTGATGTCGGAATTTTATAATGAATAAAGACACAGTACAATAAAAACACAAAATTTATTGATATTTTTCATTATGTATACGTTCTCTTACTATAACGAATAATAAATAAATAAATTTACAATTAATTCATAAACAATCATTTATTCTAAAAAAACAAAAAAAAATTGTCACTACGGGGAATTGAATTCTGCTCGCACGGACGCAAAATAGTAGCCGCACGCCTAACCTGCACAGCCAGCGCGCTTCATGCAAAATTATGGCTATCCATTGTACTTACCGTACAGCTGAAAATTACATCATTTTACAATAAATTTTCTCCGAAACTAAAGCCCATACACCCAAAAGCTCTGACACGGTTTATACTCTCGACCTCCCCTTTCGAATGCACTATAGCTCATTCAAAAGTAGAGTTAGCAGTTCGTGGCATCTCCTTGTCAGTCAACTCGTGCGGCACCCATTTTCCTTCCTTTTGAATTTTTCCCATGGCATGTAAACGTTTGGAAATATCTTGGCGAGTCATGTTTAATGCCTCCGCAAGTTGATCTTGTGTTTGCGTATCATCTTCATCCAATAACGCTTGCAGATCGGCGTCCTCAATTGTTTTTGGTCTTCCGGAGCGCTCCTTGTCCTCAGTGTCGAAATCATCACTTCTGAAGCGTTTAAACCAATCTTCACAGGTAATTTTCGATGGTGCATGTTCGCCGTAGGCCTCCTCAAGCAAACGACGTGCTTCAGCTGCACTTTTTTTTCAAGTTAAAGCAGAAAAACAAAGCTTCCCGCAAATGCTGTTTATTTGGCACAAAACTCGACGTCTTCGTTGTTAGAAAAAATATTTTTACGTTGCGATATGTGTTGGTATTACGACTGATTATTGTTAACAGATGTCCAAACTATAAAAAAAACACAACTTCAGACATGTATGTCGACTACATGTGTCGTTAGCGCCATCCATGTGTGAAACCCGGAAACTTGGTTGCGCACCTAGTATAAACATAGAACACAATCCTACGTAATGCGCCAGGATGCCTACTACACTGTGGCGTTTTTATTCTTACTCGCACTTCTGTACTGATGTGAACCATACTGTACTCACCTGTCCTAGTTCAGTTCAGTTCAATTCGCAGTTTCGTTCTTCGAAAAAGAACAAACTTCTGATGTTCTCGCATGCTCGCGTACGGCAGAATAAGTGATGCACACAACGACGTGCGTGCGTACGTGCGTGCGACTTGAATCATCCACCTGGCGGACGATGACACGCACATCGCCGTGGTCCTCAATTGCGTCAAACGTCCGCGACGCGGGCGAGGTGAGACGTCGAGGACGCGCGGCGCGTGAAATAAGCGTAAAGACTAAAAGCCTCCTTCTCTCGGGTTCGGCGAACTCTAATACTTCTCAAGCTGGCTAACACCCGACAACTTAACCATAATGCTCTTAATACTAACGGATACTTCGCGTAACGTCGCTCGCAGCGCCGGGCTGAGTCGCGACACCGACGCGCAACGCGAAAACGCGAAAAAACGTCGCGACAGCCCGCTTCGCGGTGCGCTCGTGAAATCAGACTTCGTTATTATGTATATGCGAGTACGTTGCGTTCGAGGAGAAATGTTGCTACGATCATGCGCCATTGACCGACTATCGCGCATGCGCAGATCCGAGAACCCGGGTCGCACCGATCCCGAGACACAAGAGGTTGCAAGCTGCCGGTTCTGCGTCGCCGACGCGACGTTCGCAATAAGAGAAACGTCGTGGGAATAAAAAAGAACAAGTATGCATAAAAGATAACACTTCACTGAATTTTTTTCATTTTGGAAATATTTTACAGAGGGCGACATTTTTTTTTCTGAGTAACTTTTCATAATACAACTATATGGGAGTTGCTCGTAGTTTCCGGATATTTGACTTAAAGTACTGCAATTATGCGTTCTCAAAAGTTGCTTATTGTTCAATTGAAATTCTTATAATAACTTTTGGGAAAAAGAAAATATGTTTACTATCAAGTGGTTTACATATTTCATATTTTTTTTTAAATATATAACACATGCACACACACATACATAGTTCTATTAAGAAAATTTTAATTTATTTGTGTACACAATTAACCTGGCATACTATTTACTCGGAGAATAATTGATTTAATTAACAAGACAATATACGCGACAAACCAAAGTCTCACCAAAGTGGAAATATATTATAATTATATGCAATTTTGACTACTGCTTTCAATCGTACTGTCTATATTCTTTAATGTTTTGAAGACAACCAAAAACGAATTACGTTAAGTAATACATTTAAAGGTTTTGTATGGTCTTAGAGACCTGAATTCATTTTTAATGTTGATAACAGGACGCACATCTCTACCCAGAATTTGCTGAATCTTAGCTATAACACTGTCTCCATTAAAACGGTTGAAAGTACAGGACGTTCCTGAGGTTGCATTGTTTTTAAACATTCGTCGAATAATCCAGATTTGAATATTACTTGAAAACATACGATCAAGTCCGCTCTTCCATATCGGATTGACCATGTAATTGCTGTATGTCCTTATGTAGTTGTAGAAAAGTTACTCAGAATTTCATAATTTCCTTTTATAATATATTTCAAAATAAAAAAGGAAAATCGGTGAGATGTTACCTTTTGTTTACCAAAAACAGAATTCAGAGCGACGTGTCCGTACTTCTTTTCTATTTCTTTCTAGGGTTCTTCCAGAATCGAAGAGCCCCGACGAAGGGCGAGACGCGAACTCACAGCTTTTCTTCCTCTACCTCTCTTTTTCTCTCTTTGTAACGCGACACTTTACCTCGTTATTGTCCCGCGACCGCTCGCAGCCGCTGCCTCTCCGCGAAACTGTACCACGCGGCGCACAAGCGTGCAAACATCCAGAACTGCCTCTCGCACTGCTTGTGCATTCGCCGCGCTCGCTCGCCGATCCTCGCTCGTCGACGACGAGGTCGCCAGGCCATGGCGAGAAGCGCGACGACGCGCATCGCGATTCAACACTCCTCGGTGGAAGTGCTGGAGATCTGCGTGCTAGCGCCGCTGGAGAAGCTGCTCCTGCAGGTCTCGACCGCGAGCGCGGTGTCCGGCACCTGCACGAACTGCACCTTCTCCTTGGGCCATCTGCTCCGACCGTACACACAGTTGAAGATGTTGTAACGCTGCTCCATCTCCAGCTGGCTGAGCGTGCTGCTATGCCGGCGTTTCAGCACTTTCTTCGCCATCAGGCTGCGGTTGTTTTTATACGACAGCTCGCGCCGGAAGCAGAAGAATCGGCGCAGCTCCCTCTTCACGCGTCTTGATCGGTAGCCGAAAAGCAACGGGCTCGCGTACGCCGCTACGATGAGGAAGCTCAGCGCCAGCACGTCGTACTCGTGCGGGAACTCGTGGCTCGAGTACTGTGGCAAGTTCTTCATCAAGCTCAACAGCATATAAGGCGACCAGCAGATCAGGCCCATGACGATCACGAGTGCGCTGATCCTGGCCGCCCGGGTCTCCTCGCGGTACCTGAAGAGCGAGCCGTTGCTGATCCGATATTTCAACGAGTTGATGTAGCTGCTGGACGTGCTGCGCACGCTGGACACTCGGTTCAGGCCGCCCGGCTTGTTCGGCGCCGGCGTGATCGTCACGACCGGCGTCAGGAGGCACGACGACGGTTCCGCGTGGCCGCTCCTCATGTTGTTGCTCTCGGAGTTTTTACCGGCAGCTTGCGTTTCTTCAGCGCCGGACAACTTGGACGAGCGACGACCGAGTCGCCGGGACTTCTTACCGTCCAACTTGCCAATCCCCGTCGAGAGATGCGAAGACGAGCAGTCGCCGACGGAGACTCGGCGGTTCAGCGGCGTCGCGGAGGCGCCTTCTGCTCCCGGGATTTTCCTTTCGATGGAACTCTCCCCTTCGCCCTCGTCCTCCTCTTCTTCGTCCACGCGAACGACGAATTCTTTCTTCTCGAAAGAGCTCCGCCGGGAATTGTCGCCCTGGCTGTTCGCCGTCTCGCAAACCGCCAACGACAAGAAGTAGTCGGATGGTCTCCGGCTGCCCAGCCGGTGAACAGTTGCCGGCACCTCCAACGAGTCGAAATAGCCGTAACGCCGCCGCTCGTCCTCCGACTCGGAGTCGCTGGAGTCGCCGGCGATCCAGCCGGAGGATTCCACGGCCGACACTGCCTCGTACACGAGATCATGCGAGGACTTTCGCCGCCGGTCCGCCGGCGAGTCCCGGAACTTGCTCCTCACGAGATCCTCCTCGTGATATGTCGCGACGCTGCGCTCGTCCTCGAGGAAGTGCGCTTTCAGCACCGTCACCGGCTGCTCCCTCTGCGATCCTCCGTCCTTGCGATCCTGAACGCGCCCGCCTGTCACCTCTACCGGCTGCAGGCCCACCGTGAAGACGACTGCGCCACCGGCCGAGGTAGCCTTGTCGTCGGTCGACGGCGCAGTGTCCGAGGTCGACGAGAAGGACCTCCTGTGCGACGCTTGATTGGCCGAATGCGCGGTCTCGCTGGTCTCGTCAATGGACGACAGACTCGAGATCTTCGGTATCCTGCGGATTTCCTCGGCGTACGCGTCTGCCGGTTGCTGCTGCTGCTGCTGCTGCTGCTGCTGCTGCTGCTGCTGCGGTGGTCGCGCGTAGCCATAAGGATCCTCGCAGAAACTCGCGGATGACAGGATCGGCCGTGAGCCGGTCCTGCGGGTTCGTTCGGAGTTCCGGTGCGCGGCTGCGTAGATGCTGACGTAGATCCAGCAGACCCCGGCGAACGGCAGCAGGTAGGCGAGCACGCTGTGCACGAGCGCGTACACGAGGCCGTAGGTGATGGAGTCGTTGGCGAGGCCGCGGAAGAACTCGGTGGAGTTGTCGAAGAGGCCGTGGCTGATCTTGATCGACTCGACTGTCCGCAACAACGCCGGCATCGCTGTGCCTCCAACGTCTATCACTTCCTCTTCCATCAACTCCGTCTCCTCCTCTTCCTCCTCCAATACGCTCGTGTTACTGAAGAACGCGAATGCCGAATCGACCGACGACGATGACGTATTCAACAGGTAGCTGTTGTCGCTGCTGTTGAGCGTCGTGCACGACAGCCAGAGGCTGCGCGGGCTCGGGTTTAAGGACGCAATTAGGCCGAACGCTGCAGAGACCAGCCAAACGGAGACGATCAGCACGGCGGACTTGAGCTTGTCTACTCGCGCGCGGTAACGCAGCGGGTCCACCACCGCAAAGTACTGGTCAATGGCGATCAGCAGCACCGATAGCACTGACGACGTGGTGACGAGCGCGGTCGCACCTTCCGATAACGCGCAGATATTGCCGACCGACCTGAACGTGCCGGTCGATGCGAACGTCGACGCTGAAGACGCGTTCAACGTGGCCGTCGCCGTCGCCGAGACCATTGTCGTCGTCGTTGCCGTCGTCGTCGACGTCGTCGTTGTCGTCGTCAACGTCGCCCCCGCGATGGTCGGGCCGTCCATCATCTGCAGCGGGTTCAGCAACGCGCACGTCAGCAGGTTCGAGACAGTCAGGTTCATGACGAATCTGGAATCGAGACAGAACATCCCGCGGTTCAATCGCACGTCGTGCTCGGCGTCCTGGGCAGGGTTGATAAAAAAATATTAAGACAAAAGACATTTAAAATGAAAGGAAAACAAAACATCAGGTTTTCGTTTAACACGTTGACCGCCGCGTCACCCGTATTCGGGTGACAGCAAAAGTTCTCATCGGGCCGCGTCTTCGGCCGTATTCGGGTGACGCTTATTTGACTACTTACAAAGGATCTTCGAAAATATTTGGACAGATATTCCACAGGATGTAATAAAACTATTGAATTATTATAAAAATGGTTTATTAAAAAAATTATTTGGAGTGTAAAACATTAAAGCATTCTATGCAAAGCTGAGGTTGGTCAGGACATTTTGGACAAAAAGTTATTGTTTTCTTTCACTAAGTTGAATTGTACTTTCCTCGGTATCATCAACATTTCTTTCTTCTTCCAAGACTAATTCTCGTAAAATCTCGTCAATAGTATCTTCATTACATTCACTATCACTAAGATTGCATTTATCAGTATCCGAATCAGAATCTGACGATGTAATTCTATTTATATTTCTCTTTCTGGGCAATCTGATCTCTTCCTCATCGCTGCTATCCGAATTTGTATGAATATCGTAACAGGTTTCTTCTTCACTGCTATATGACTCACTAAGAACTAACTTTTCTATTTTTCTTCTCAATATTGAAACAAATTAGGACAGAGATTTTAAGTTATACCACTCGGTACTCGGCAAAGATTCGAACTGTTCATGCAGAGTAGCGAGGTGAGACAAGTGAAGACTTTAGGAATGTATCGATAGTAACAAATGAACAAAAATGAGACAGCAGCGCACGCGTCGTACAGCGGCGCGCGTGGCCTGACGGAGATTTCGTTGCAAACACGTGCGGCAGTCAACGTGTTAAAACGGTCTTTTATGTTTTAAACATGCTTAAACAAGGAAATATTTTACACAAGGAGAAAACATGTTTAAAACATGAGAAACATGTTCTAAACATGTCTTAAACATACGTGCGTTTGATTTTTAGTACGGTTTGAACTTAACTTTTTATATGCAATTTGGAATTTAGTCAATGGTTTAATAAGAAAACTTTATCTCTAGAAATTTATAAAAGATAATTTGTTTAATTGAACTATCGACTAAGTTCTGAATTGCATCGAAAAAAACGTTTAAATCATTTCATTCAAATAAACTACGAAATATATATAAACAAAATGTGAATTATTAAGTAAATACAAGGTGTCCTATTTTAAATGAGCCAGACAAAATCACAAAAGATATTAGGCAAATGAAAAAATGTTTCAGATAAAAGTTGTTCAAATTAAGTAGTAGAAAAGGATAATATATTAAATAAGAAATTGGGATTTTCGTTCAAAGAAAGTAATGATCAGTGAATATCTCGAAAGTAGCGCTATCTGTAAACAAAATGATATAGTTGTTTTATGTTCCCTTTGAAACATACAACTTTAGTCTAACACGTTTCTTAGTATCTTTCATATTTTTTGAGGTTTTTGCCTGGCTCATTTAAAATAGGACACCCTGTACATATAATATGTACGTGTACTATATGTAATAATTATTTCTTAATTATGCAATAATGTATATATTTGTGTGTAATATTGTAATATGCAAAAATATAAGAAAAACATTTTGTGAAAAGATCAAATTCATATTATCAACAACTTCATATCCAAAATCTATATTAAACACTTAAAGAAACATGTTTAAAAAAACATATGTTTAAAATTATCGAATGTTTAAAACATGTTTAACCCTTTGCACTCGGAGCCCTCGCGGGTTGCCAGTTCGGCGGCTTTTTAGGAAAATATGCAAATAGGAATCATATTAAATAAATAGGTATCATATTAAATGGCGTAGTTTTGAAACCAAGTAATTGATTGTAATTTATTGTAATGATATTTGGTTTATATAAATTTTTAGACATTGAGGAACACATTTATGACAAAAAATCAAAATTTTATATTTTATATTTTTCTAACGTCTGGTAACATATGAAACGGTCACCGTATGCATTGCCATTGTTCTGTAAACTAAATAAATGGGTCAGAAATTTCTAACTGTGAATTACTGAAATCACAAAATGAAATTTATTAAAAGAATATTACTTTTCCAATTTTACTTTTCTGACTTAGTGCAGATAATGATCTATGCCGCTAGATACTTCAATACCATCTGCTTTCAGCTTTGAAAGTCTCTTTCTCTTAAGGTACAATTATTATCTTCTCAAATGGCACCATATCAAGTGATATATCACAAAGAAAATATATATTTTTGAAAACTTTGCGCTCGCATAAGTTTATCCTGTATAATCACTAATAAATCTTTATGTCCCCTGAGAGGACATCCGAGTAGTTTACTAAACTTACGATGTCCCCTCAGAAGGGACATCCGAGTGTAAAGGGTTAGGAATATTTCGATTGGATTGTTTATTTCTTTTTGTTGAAAGTGCCAATCAAATTTATCAGCAACTTCCTTTGCAGAAACTTAAATCCCTTGCAACTTTAAATTTTATGAATCCTAAAGTTATCAGAGAAAAAACTTTTCTCTCAACATACGTATATCCTCATTTTCCGTTATTAATAAAAGAAAGCGACTACAACTGACCAAGAATGGAGGTAATTAAAAGCTTATGCAGATAAAGATGAGTTTGATATTCAATCACTGTCACTTTAAAGATATTCACTGATCATTACTTTTCTTAAATGGAAACCCCAATTTCTGATCATCTTTTTTATCAGATTCTTTTCACTGGACCAGCCAATCAGAAATACGCGGCTAAGATGCGTGGTCATAGAAACGCATGCGCACAGATAACAAGTAGAAATCTATATTATTCCCTCTCGCGCAGATGTTTGCTTCATCTTTTGTATTACAGGAGGGATAAGCAATTCCTCCTTCATGTCTATATACGTTAAGATTTAAAGGCATTAGAATCAAATTTAAAAAATTGAGAGATTTTTTGCTTAATTAGAGATAAATTGTGGGGATCTTTAATTTTTTCATGTAGCAACACTGATGTCAGTCGACTTCAAATATCATCTGTGATTTTTATGATGACGAATATTGTGGAGCAAAGAGTTTGCCTTAAATTTCGTGTTTTCAACGAAATTTCTTGTGCTGACGCGTTGAAAATATTACAAAAAGCATACGGGGATAATGTATTTCAAAAATATAGGCGTATGAGTGGTGTAAATTGTTCAAAGAGGGTCGTATGGCCGTCGAAGGCTTCTGGTCGCCGATCCACTTCAAATACCGACGAAAATGTTAAAAAAGTGAAGAAATTAATGTTTGGAAATCGCCGTGTAAGTAAAAAAAAGGATTGCTGCCAAACTTAACATATCAAATGGCTCTGTCCATGCCATTTTGACCGAAGACAACTCGTGAACTTTGCATCACGATAATACACTATCGCACACATCGCTTCTCGTACGTGACTATTTGGCCAAACACTCGATTAACATCATTCCGCAAGCACCGTACTCGCCAGATATAGTATCCTGTGACTTTTTTCTTTTCCCAAAACTTAAAATACGGTTTCGTTCGGTTGGTAAGCGTTTTGAGACGATTGAGGCAGTAAAAGAGAATTCGCTGAAGGAACTCAGGGCCATACCAAAATCGGCTCACGAAAAGCGTTTTGAAGATTGAATTAAGTATTGATATACGTGTGTTGTACAGAATGGGAATTATTTTGAAGGCGACAAAATAAATTTACTTGAATAATTGAATATTTTGTGTTTTATTGCCCGATTTTGAGTACTTTTTGAGCAGAAGATATGTCACGTAACCAAAAAAATCCGCTCGCGCGTGAGTCAATTTGAATAATCGTTTATAAAGGGTGTCCCATTTTAATGTCCTACCTCAAATAACTCTTCAGTATTGAAGTTTCGAGAAAAATAATCTGAATAAAAATTGTAGGGATTTAAGTGAGCTACCTTATGATGACTTTGATCTTGACCTTGACCTCTATTTTCAAGGTCATTTGAAAGTCAACTTGCGTTTTTTAAATGGGAATCCTTATTTCTTATTATACTGTTTTTTTTCTACTAGTTAATTTGAACAACTTTTGTCTAAAACACTTTTTTATTTGTCTAATATTTTTTTAGATATTTGAGAAAAACTTGATAACTTTTTCAATATTTAACTTACGATATCTCGCTAATTATTTGTCGGAAGAAAAAGGTACTAGACTTTCTTGCCTTATTTAGTCTCAAGAATATATTGTTACAATAGCACCCTGATTTTTGTTAATTTGATGATTTTGAAATTTCCAAAAATCAGTAAGTTAACAAAAGTTATGGCGCTATCGTAACAATATATTCTTGAGACTAAATAAAGCAAGAAAGTCTAGTACCACTTTTTCTTCCGACAAATAATTAGCGAAATATCGTAAGTTAAATATTGAAAAAGTTATCAAGTTTTTCTTAAATATCTCAACAAATATTAGACAAATAAAAAAAATGTTTTAGACAAAAGTTATTCAAATTAACTAATAGAAAAAAGCAATGTAATAAAAATAAGAGTTCCCATTTAAAAAACGCAAGTTGACCTTCAAATAATCTTGAAAATAGAGGACAAAGTCAAGGTCATCATAAGGTAGCTCACTTAAATCCCTACAACTTTTATTTAGATCATTTTCCTTGAAACTTCTATACTGAAAAGTTATCTGGGGTGGGACATTAAAATGGGACACCCTGTATACAGGTGTTAAAAAAGAGCTCAGGACCTCAAGGACAGATGATACTCACAAAATGGAGGGAAAAGTCCTGATAAATACGGAAAATTAATATTCGAATATCGAAAAATTAATATTGTTTTGGTACTTTTGCACTCTCTGATGTAATTTATCTATTTCATTTACCGGTGAAAAGCGGTACCATGCTTTAAATGAACCCCTGAAAAGTCTCTTCGCTCTTGCGAATGTAAACAAATATCTAGTTACTTCGTATTTATATACACGTTTCATCC